CACACACACACACACACACACACACACACACACACACACACACACACACACACACACACACACATCCAAAATTACAGAGAGAGGCCAGGTAGGTGAGTGTCCCCTCTCTGGTGGTGAAACAGGTAGTTTATTAAATACCTGTCTACAGAGAAAACTCCGCCCCCTCATTTGCATATTGGAACATGAAATTAAACGATATGAAATAGTAAAACTGCCTGAAGTAAAAAGGGTTTTCAAAACAAAAGTCCCTGAAACATGTAAAAAAGCTGTACAAAATAAGTGTCACAAAATAAAATTACAATATGTAATAAAAATAAATTAAATATAAATACATGAATAAATAAAGAAATTTTTTTGAATATAAATACATCCTTAAATACATAAAAATGTAGTAAAAATGTATTTTATAAATAAATAAATGCTAAAAATGTATTATAATTTATTGATTTTGTTTTATTTCATATGGACATTTTATTTAATTGGATATTCATTAATATTTTATTAATTACAGTATTTATTTAATTTTGAGTGAAAAGGCTCTCCATAACAACTGTGTGGAGGAAACAGACACATCTAGTGGTCAAACCTGTGAACTACATTTGACCCTGCTGTTCCTGTAGTCACATGACCTCAGCTGCACAATAACATCTTTATCAGTTGACTTTGTAATAAACAGGATTTCTAACCTGGCTGTTGTTTCAACATGTAGTTTCTGTACAGAGGGACTCCCACAGTCAGTGTGAATTTGCTGTTTTTCTGATATTTGCTGACATTCGATCCATTTCTTTCTTCATCCAGTCAGAAAACAAACAGCAGTTTGGTTTGATCTTGTGTTGAGTTTTAAAGGTTTTTGGGGAGTTTCAGTTTGTAACTAAATGAAAAAGCACTGAGCAGAAATGTTGATCTGTGAAAAGCTGGCTGCAGCTTTCACTGTTTTTGTAAAATAAATCTCTTCCTGACAGAAACCGTTCTGCACAGAAACTTTTCTTTGTACTTTTGTTTTGTCATTGGGATTACTGAAGGATTTTTTCTTGTATTATACTTCTTCTGTGTATATTGATGTTTTTGTAAATATTCACATTTTCGGCTACAGTGCACGTATGGTTTTATGTATGTGAACGCAAAATAAATGCAGCCTTCCCAATGAACCTGTGTTTGGAGTCATGTATTTTCTATTTTATCTGTATTTTAAAACCAGGTAAATAAAACAAACAGTTTATTTTTAAAGGTGAAATGTTTGTTGGATAAATTAAATGTCACGTGATAAATGGTAGTTTGAAAAGAAACTTTGCTGCGGTTTGTTTTAATCATGTCTCAGAAAACAACAGAATCTGTGCGTTTGTTTTATTGTGGTTCTTGCAGGATTTGTTCTGATCCGGTCGTCGTTAAACTTTGTGCTGGAAAGTTAAATTTGTGAGAAACAAAACCATTGTTTTATACAACACTGTTCAAGTGCACACACCTGCACACACCTGCACTAACCACTCATCATATTAGACTTTTTTTCTGTGGTTCATCTTTTGGAGGGGTGGGTTTCACTCAGCTGTTGACCCCAGTCCTCAGACCAAAC